TAATGTACGCTCACAATGCATTGAACGGAAACCAGTGATCCACCATTTAATGAACGCCCGCAATGCATTGAACGATCAATGACTATTTAAACGGGAAGAATAAACACCTGCAATGCGGATACTCTAACAAATTTTCAATTTATGCATTACTTTTATTTACATCGAGGACCAACGTTTCAATTTATGCATTAGTTACAAACACAAGGTTTTTTTTTTGGCATTTTGAAAAGAAGTTGGGTTAGTTTTAGAAATAATGCAAACTTCCAGGGCAAGAATTTGTAAATATTACTAGGCACCAGAACCTTCCATAGATATTTGAATGGTGGAATAGAGCATGGCCAAAATTGTCCCCTTATTGTTAAACAAGTCACTACACAAAATTTAGTATTCGAAGAAAATAAAAAATAAAAATTAGCATATATATAATGAGACAAAAAAAATATAATATAATACTATATATTTTTGTCCACTATGAAACAATAAATTGGAAAAACATTAGTTATGTCTTTCAAATATAAGATAAATCTCTTAATATATGTACAAAATATTTATAATAATGTTTGCTTTCTACATACCAAAATTATCTTTATTTTAATGATTCAAAAAGTTGAATAAAACGTGCCTCTGTATTCAAATAATATATATATATTTTTTTTTTCAGGGGAAACTAACAAAATCTTGAAGACGATTAACGAAAAAGATTGGAATATTTTTCACCTGCAAAAAATGTTGAAATAATTTGAATGAAGAAGAAAATGACCCATCGGTGGGGCCCCACCCGAATAGCTACATCACATGAGACATTGGAATTTGGATAGTGTCAAATTTTCAGTTCCCAGGCATGGAAGGTTTTTGTTTCAAGCAAAATGCAATTTGGTCATGTATGTTTTACTATCTTAATTTTTTGTGCTCGTCGAATTGCGTTTTTATTTTCGTCCCGTATGTTTGTAAAAATGATTACAAAAAGGTCATTTTCGCAACAAAAAAGTCCTTTATGGTTCACAAAAAAAGGTTTCAATTTCGTCTCTTATGTATAAAAATGACTTTTTTTGTAACATTTTTTGCAAAATGAATATAAAAAATAGAATTTGAAGAGGACGAGAAAAGTTAAGGTAATAAAACAATTGTAATTTACTCTTTTGTTTTTTTGTTAGATTATTAAAAAAAAAAGTTGGGAAATAAAAAAACAATTAAATGCATGTGAGATTGTAAAACTGATTTCTTGCCAATAATAAACAAAAGGTTGGACTTGAATAGGCCTAGGAAAACCAGGCCAATCCACCCCTTGGCAAGGCGGCCAGGCCCATTTAAATAGAACCCCACTCGTGGGACCCACAAAAACTGAAATCCTCACCC